ATTTCCTCTGCCAACAGAATTAATTCACATCTCTTCACTTGAGCCTCAGCCATACTTTTCAGACAAGGGCAAAAAGCAACCACATTCTTTACCAAAATATCACAAGAAAGATCTCTAGGCCACATATTGATATTCTCCTCTGAAACCTCTTGAGCCAGCCCTGTCACAGTTCAAATCACACTCAGCACCACTGTCTTCCATGTTCTTGCTAGGATGGCCCATTAAGCAGCACTTAAAGCATTCAGTTGCTTCTCTAATCCACAATCCCAAGGTGTATATCCCTTCAAACAAAAGCATAGTCAGACCTGTCACAACAATACCCCACTTTTGGTACCAACTTCTGTCTTAGTTAGGGTTTCTTTACTTTGAAGAGACACCATGACCACAGCAGCTCTTGTAAAACATTTAATTGGATTGCTAACAGTGTCAGAGGTTTGTCCATTTTCCATTATCATCAAGGTGAGAAGCATGACAACATGCAGGCAGACATGGTGCTGGAGAAGGAGCTGAGAGTTCTGTATCTTGCAGGCAACAGGAAGGGAACTGGGATACTGAGCATGGCTTGAGCATGTATGAGACCTCAAAACCCACCCCCACTTCCTCCAACAAGGCCATACCTACTCCAACAAAGTTACACCTCCTAATAGTGCCACTCCCTATGACCTTTGGGGGACAATTACATTCAAACTAAGACTTATCATTTGAAAAGTGAAAGTATTTTAGTGTACTGTTTCATTCTAAGAAAATTGTATTTGACCGACATGAGGATACTATAGTTCCTACTGTATGTGAGGTAATACAGTAAATAATCCTTGTGCTAAAAGTGAACACAGGCACATAAGTTATAGCATGAGACCATAGGTATTAAAGAAAATCTCACTAGTGAGTATACCCCTTTGTTTAAATAGTTTAACCTTTGAGTTTGTAAGAATTCTACTGGTGAGAGAAAATGAGAGAAATTGTACCTTACCTCATATAACCAGACAGACTAACTAGTTTGCCTCAAGTTTCAAGTTTGAAGTAAGAAATTATTAGTACTTAAATAGTATTTGCTGGATTTTTTATACTTTCATAGTGTAAATACTTTGCTCAAAACTCATACTCCGTTAGGTCATGTTTTTTGTTTGTTTTTGTTTTTGTGACAATCTCACCATGTAGACTTATCTGGCCTGAGACTCACTATGTACATGTAAGCCAGGCTTGCCTCAGAACTCAGCTCTACCTGCCTCCCCGAGTTCTGGAATTAAAGGTGTTGCCACCACACCCAGTTTAGATCTAAAACTTTGAAAAGGAAGGATGCATTTCAAAATGGCAAGGCCAGCTCAGAAGATGCGGACCTACACAGCCTTTTCTCTGAGCTCTGACTTTCCAGTCCTGGGGTTACAATGTATCACTGCGCCCCTGGCTTCAGGTTTCAACTGTAGTAGTCTTTAAGTTTTCGCTGAATTTGAATGTCATGTGTAAAGTTGAGAGGTTTTTAATTTGTAAGCATTCTGGAATATTATGTATGATTATGAAGCAATTATATCCAATTATAAATTAAGTTGCTTAGTAATGCTTTCAAAGGCAAAGCGGAAAATCTTTCACAAATTTTCTAAGAAGCGTTTCCATGCTGTCTGTGAGCTCATTTTAACATGTTAGTTGTCATATAGTGTAGCCCTCCACGATAAAGAACCTGGGAATTTCAGAAACCCAGTGGTTGCCCTGCAGTCACTGACCCGTCACTCCAGCTGTAACTCGGGCTATCACCTCTTCTTGTCTCTCCCTCTCCCTGTCTCTGTTTGTTTTTAGCTTATGCTAGCTTAGAATTCATTCATTACCAGTAGCCCAGATTGGCTGGAATTCCTAGCAGTCTTCCTGTTTAAGAGCTCTGGGGCTAAGATTACTGGTATGAGCTTCACACCTGGTTAACTCTTCTCTTTTTAATATTCAAATTGACAGTCTGGTTAGCCTCAACTGGCTTCTTTGTCCAAGGGCAACCTTGGACTTTTTTTTTTTTTTTAATGGACTTCTTGCCTTCTTACAGTAAGATATCCCAGATCTGCAGTGCCCTTTATTTTTTTTGTAACAGGGTCTGATGTAGCCCAGGCTAGTCTTAAAACCTTGCTGTACAGCTGAAGGTAGTCTTGAATGCCTGATCCTGCTGCTTTTACCTCCCAAGGGCGAGTACCCCCCAAGAGTGGGTCATCATGTCCAGCTTCGTGGTGCGTCTTTACTGTGGGAGAGAGGCTTTATACATTAGACCACATAACCAGTGACATCATTAGCTTGCCTTGCTCTCGGAGATCAGTGCAGGTTCCTGCTACATACAAAACTATTCTGTTCTGTTTCCACTGTACTTGGGATAAGTTCACCTTCCCTGGACATTTCATGCTTGGCCTGTCTGACCCACTGTCACTACCTGGGAAAAGAGAAGGGGCATTTCAGCAACCTGACAGTTGATGTTGATGGCCCGTTTTCCTCCAGGAGCATGTCAGCAGGAAATGGGCTCTAGATCTAGTATGAAAAATTGCCTGGAAAGTTCATAAAACCATCTTTTTAGAAATGCCAGAATGTACTGTCACTGGTAGTTATTAAAAAGTAGTCTGCTGTTACTAGAATTTGTGGTATAACAGGTTCAGAGATGGAAAATGGGAGAGGATAAATTACTAAAATAGATATGGCATTTCCCAAACTCCTGCCTATAGACAGGCTACTGGTGCCTGGTTAAATTGAGAACTGCAAGTTTCAGCTATTCTGGTTAGGCCCATATCTATGAATACCTTATACATGCTGTGCCATCTCAACCAGTCTCCCTCTCGGGGACATTTCCACCTACCAGGTCTTCTCTGTAAGTCATTGTACAATTCCCACAGTCCCACAGATGGGTATTTAGGCATGCTTAGGTCTACCCTTACTGAAAGTGCCCTCATCCCAAAGTTACCCTTCTAGTCTCCAGAGCTGTAATTGTCTCCTGCTCCTCCTATTCAATATCCTTCTGTGTTTCCCAGTCCTTTTACACTCCCAGGACCCCGTCTCTCTGTCTGTCTCCCCTCACTAGCTAGGGATCAGAAATGCAGACTCCTATGGTCATACAAACAAGTCTGCTCAGGATTATAAAGAGCTTGAGAGTGGCCAGCTAGAGGGAGAATACTCTTTTTGGTTCTGGCTTGTTGCTGCTGTGTGGGAATCTGAATTAGATAGATTTGCAGAGGCTAGAGATCTGAGAATGTGGAGTCCTTCAGTGTTCACATGTTGGCATTTTAATTTGGATTTGTTTGTTTGTTGATTGTTTTTTGAGACAGGGTTTTAACTGTGTAGCCCTGGCTGTCCTGGAACTCACTTTGTAAACCAGCCTGGCCTCGAACTCAGAGAGTCACCTACTCCTGTCTCCCAAGTCCTGGGTTTAAAGGTGTTTGCCACCACCATCTGACTTTAATTTGGATTTTTAAAGCTTAGCCGCATACTGCCTGCTGCAACGTGCTGAGATCTTCTCTAAGTTTAAGGCTTAGAATTAAGTCAAATATTAAATAAGTATTTGATAAAAGGAGGTGTCTATATATCCTATGAGTTGTGCTATTTCTTAGACTTGCTTTCTGGTCTGGTCATTTGGAATTATTTGGTTTTTCCTTCAAAAATGTTTCATTTTTTTAATGAATTTGATCTGAGTATGCACAGTATTTGTTTTGGTGGGGGGTTTTGTGATTTATTTATTTATTTTATGTATATGAATGCTCTATCTGCATATACGCCTTTATGCCAGAAGAGGGCATCAGATCCCACTGTAGATGGTTGTGAGCCACTTGTGGTTGCTGGGTATTGAACTCAGGATCTCTGGAAGAGTAGTCAGTGCTCTTAACTGCTAAGCCATCTCTCCAGCCTGCATAATGCTTGTTTCTTCATGTAAGAATCTGCACACCTGTAGATTTGACTGTGCAATATTTTGGGCCCCCAAATTTAGTCCAAAACAAATGCTATAACTCATACCTTGGTGAGTAGAATTATTTAGACCAGAGTCTTGGTGCTTGAATTGTGGTTAGTGGAAGAGTGCTTGCATGGGATGTACAAGGGATGGGTCCTGCTACTGCAAAAATTAATAAATACATCTTAAAAGTCCTTGCTTTTATTTTGTATCCATCTTTTATGCTCATTGGGTTTTTTTGTTTTTGATTTTTTTTTTTTTTTTAGATATTATTTGTATGGGTGTTTTGTTTACATGTATGTCTGGGTGCCATGTTTGTGCCTGGTGCCTACAGAGTTCCAAAGATGGTATCAGATCCCCTGGAACTGGAGTTACAGTTGTGAGCTGCCTGTGGGTGCTGGGAATTGAACCCAGGTCCTCTGGAAGAGCAACCAGTACTCTTAACTATTGAGCCATCACAGCACACACATGCAACACACTTTTTTTAGGGTCAAACTAGGTAGCCCTAGTTGACCTAGAACTCAACAAAAATCCACCTGCCTCTGTTTCCTGAGAGTGTTGGAATTAAAGGTGTATGCTACCATTGCTGAGCCTGTTTTTTGTTTGTTTGTTTTAAGTCAGGGTGTTTTAAGTTTGTTTTAAGTCATACAGCCCAGGCTGCCCTTGAATGTGTTGCATAGCCAGAGATGACCTTGAACTCTTGCTCTCTGCCTCTACCTCCCCGGTGTAGGTATGCACCACCACATCTGGTTTATGCTGTATTGGAGGTCGAATCCAAGGGTTTTGCACATTCAGCAAACACTCTACCAACTGAGCTACACTCCCCACCCCACTGGATTTTTTGTTTTGTTTTAAAGAGATAAGGGCTCATGTAGGCCAGGCAGGCCTTGAACTCCACCTCTCAAGTGCTGGGATTATATGTTTGCCACCACATCTGGTAATGTATTCTGCTCTTAAAGTTGCTGGGAAATGGCCAGTAGGGAGAAAGAACTTACTAGTGAGTTCATGACCATGCTAGAGAATAGGAATTTTGCTTTCTGGCTTCTACATGGCCTTGGTCTAAAATGCTTCTTATTCCCCCTCCCTTCTTTTTCTTTAGGTTTTCAAAATAAAAACAGAGTTGCGATTTTGGCTGAACTGGACAAAGAGAAAAGAAAATTACTTATGCAGAACCAATCTTCAGCAAGTCACCCTGGAGCTAGGTATTGACTGTTCTTTGGAGGTGCTATTATTAATCATACTTTTAAAGAGAAAAGCGCTGACTAGCACTCTTTGGAGGTCTCATTACTGTTAGAATTAGGTCTACACTTTAAGCTTCTCCTTACCAAAATCCCAGTGCCTGCCCCTTCCTATTACGTCATGTGCATCATCACATTTCATCATAGCTGCTGTTGTCTGTGATTTGTTTTGCGTCTCTGTATATCCCTCGTGCTTGGCACAGAGCCAGCTGTCTGGTAGCTGCTTTAGAATCTCGTGAGTAAGCCACTGTCAGCTTGGCTTTTTTTTTTTTTAATTCACAGTTGTTCAACCTGTGTAGAATATGGTCATCATAAGTTTAATTATGATACAGACAATGAAGTATGGTTTTACTGTTGATAAACATGCTATTTGTTAACAGTTTTTAAAAATGTTAATGTCCAGTATGTATACCTTTAATCCCAGCACTTGGGAGGCAGAGGCAGGTGATTCTCTGGGAGTTTAAAGCCAGCCTGGTCTACATAGTGAGATCCAGGATAGCCAGAGAGAGCTACAAAGTGAAACCTTGTCTCAAACCCACTCCTTCCCCCCCCCCCCCCCACGAAAAAAGCAGCAGCAGCAACCTGAGTTCTATCCCTAGGACTTACATGGTATAGAAAACTGATCTCCATATGTCTGACACAAAACCAACAAATTAAAAACAGTTTTTAAAGGAATACTTAATGAACACTATGTGATTTAACGTAAATCCATAAAGGCTTCAGGATTACTCTGGTTTAGTGTGCTTGAGGCCTTGGGTATGATTTCTAGTGCTACACATAGAAAACAGAAACACCCACGATCTCTTCAGATTTCTTATACAGCATGGTGGTTAGTAAGTAATGACGTACACCTGAAAATTACTGAGAGATCTTGTATAGTATCATAGTATTGGCATGTGACCTGATGGATAGGTTATCTGGCTTGACTTAATTTTTAATGTATACAAATATCAAAACACTATAACCGTAAATACGTACAATTCTTATGTGTCCGCTATACTCCTCAATTTTAAAATGTAATTTACTATAATAAAAAATATGCCAATCTAATAAATACCCTTGTATAGTTTTTGTTTTGTTTTGTTTTTGTTTTTTTAAGATCAGGATATCTCTGTGTTCAGTAACCAAGTAACCAAGATTTCCATTTTAGCATCTCCCTCTCCAGACCCTCTCTTAATAAGGACTTTCGGGATCATGCTGAGCAGCAGCACATTGCAGCCCAGCAGAAGGCAGCCCTGCAGGTGAGTAAAATGAATCTACAGCCTGCTCTCAGTGGAGAGTTCCAGGTACTAGAAGGCAACACAGTGCTTACTTTGTATCTCAATGGAGCAATGTCTATAAACCTGTTCTAAACATAATCAGGGTGGTTTTCCAATGTTTGCTCATGCCCAGAGGGATTGAAAGACCAGTACAGTAGTAATCAAAGTATCTTTTATGTGTTAATGCAGTCATGATTAATTCTCTGCTGTGCTTTACCAAGGGATTGCTTGTTCACAAAAAATATTTAGACAGAATGATACAGAAAATTGAACTGGCTGGTTTAATAGGAGCATATGTATCTTCAAATTTGTCACACCATTACTTTGTCTGATTGTCTTCCTGGTTTACCATTTGGATATCTTTTTAATAGTCTACACTGCTTGCATGGACAATATTTTAAAGATTCTTACTGTTAGGCTTATAAATGTGATATTCCAGCTTGGAAACATTATTCTAAAAAGTAATAGTTTTAGTATTACTTTCCTCTTGGATAATTTACAATTCCCAGAGACCTTGGGTGAAACATCCTTTTGGGGGGTGGGAGGCAGGGAGGTTATTCATATATAAAACCCCTGTAATATCATCACTTCAAGGGTGGAATGGGAGGATCTTGAGTTCCAGGCCAGCCTGGGCTACATAGCAAAACTCTATCTCATAAAACTTAAAAAAATTTGAAAGGTATAGTGTAATTGCCTTTGCTTTTAAGAAGAATCCCAGAATTAGAATGGACATTATAAAGATCATCTCACGTTAAATGGCCAAAAGCAGTCCTTTCTTTCTTTCTTTCTTTCTTTCTTTCTTTCTTTCTTTCTTTCTTTCTTTCTTTCTTTCTTTCTTTCT